AACAATATCCAGCTAATGAAAAAGAATGTCAGGAATTTTTGTAATTCTATGCTAGGGTATTTTTAAGATCAGTTGCCTATCATCACATCATTGTCACTCTTGGAGCAATTTAAATGAAAATCAAATAAATGTCCATTAATTCAACTATCCTGATTTTTATATATTTTCTACTATATTATATACATTATGGTGGGGAGAAGATAAAAAAAATCACAATAATAAAGAAAAAATGAGATGAATTTTCTTACAAATTGGTAATAAAAGTACTGAAAGTTTTTCACATAAGAATATTTTTTCAGAAGAAGAATATTTTCAATGTCAGGAAATAGAATTCATGAAAACTAAATGGAAGGAAGGAAATTCATGCCCACAGGGAAATTTATTTTGGCATTTATTTTATTATAAGACTACCAGGCCCCAAAGAGCTCTCCCTCCTCAAGGGAAAAAACTGTTTTCTGACCCTTATACAATGCCCTCTGTTATATTAGTTTGCTGGAAAAAGTTAATAGGATTTCAAGGAAAAATCATATCTATTTAGACATACGACTTTATGCGTCCAGGAGTTGGTTGAGAAACAAATATTTAGAGATGTCTGAGTAATTAATGTCAGGGGAAAAAGCACTAAAAGCTTTAGACTCGGATCTTATTCACGCAGTAGCTCAGAGCAACAAGCTTTGGAATCAAATGCCCTGGGTTTGAGTGTGCTTAGAGATCGTATGCACCCTGGACAAATTTCACAATTGCACTAGGTTCTACTCCCTCATATGTAAAATGAGGGTAATAATTCTTATCTTTTAGAGTTAATGAGAGTTAGATATAGAATGATATATTGTATATGAAGCATTTAGCAGATTACCTGGCAAAGAGAAGACATTTGATAAGAAAACCATTCTAATATTAGTCACAATGTTTGCATAATTAATCAACATAATACTGAGTGATCATCTTTAAGCAATATTGTGTTAGTAACAAGATGACTTTACAAATTAACTACTGGCTTACAGCCAATCAACCAGTACAGAGAAGCATTCATGTTGGACAAAGAATGGACTTTGGAACCAGACAAACTTGACTTTAAAATGCAACTGTTCCAATTAAAAGCTAAGAAGAGTTTTAAAAAAATGTCTTAGCTTCTCTTACTTTCCATTATTTCGTCTGTAAAATGAGGATACTATTACTTATTTCAAAGAGTTAGTGTAAGGTTAGAGGAAGGTAGGCAAATGTCTAGCCCAAAGCCTAGCACTTAGTAAGTACTTGATATATGATAGTTGAATTACCATCACATGAACTTTATGCAATATATATACATATTACATATTCATATATACCAATGAAATATGCATTTGGACAGAAGCTATTACATTTACCTTTCCCACTTCCGTTTGGACAAGCCAGAAGCAGTTAACGTCATGAATATAACCAATATCAGGGCCCCTGTAGCTGAAGCTTCCATTTATCCCTGAGAGGGAACCTCCACAAACTGCAAAGAAAAGGATGAATTGTGCTTTTCAGAGACTCCTAAAACGAAAAGGCTGAACAACTCTAACCCTGCTGCTGAAATATTTAGAAAAGCCTGAATAATAAATATTGTAGACAAAAGCCCTGTCATGCCTTTTTCTCTAGCCCTGTTTTCCTATGCAAATTCCACCTCTTGCTCAAAGTCTAGTTGATATCTCATCACCTGCTCCAGGAGCTTCCCTGGCTCGCTATGTTTTCTCTGGTCCCATTGTTTGTCCCTCTGTGACACAACTTTACCCCATGCAATTCAGCTCGTATCTTTAGTTCTTGTATCTGCTCTGCCATTCTGTATTAGTGTTACCTCCTCAACTGGAAGGTAACCAGATAAGAAGATAATAAGTGGAGACAATATTTTTTAACTTCCATCTTTCTCCACAGGGTCTACCATCATTCCAAACACACAGTAACCTCTCAATAAATGCGGTGATTCAGAATCAGGAGTAAAAAGTGAGGGATGGAATAGTCAGAAGAGACTTTATGGAGGAGGTTGAATGTGAAGTATTCCTCGGGGACAGATTCATCTGGATGGGAAACAAGGGAAGAATTTGGGGAGGTTTGTGGGGAGAAATATCCCAAATAAAAGAATACAATGGACATATTCATGGTTGCACATGGGGCCACGTGGCAAAATAAAACTGTCTGGCTTCAGTGAGTATATTTCTAGGGAACTAACCAAAAATAAGTTTAGATGGACAGGGTGAAGCCTGGTTAGAGAAGAAGATTCAGAAGAAGATTGAAAAACAACCCCAGTCTCTACTTAACAAGTTATGGGGAGACACTATATACTATAGAGCAGAAGAGTGATATGAATAAGCATACTATTCTAGAGAAACTAAATATCTGCTATACAGAAAACTTTCCCTTAGAAAACTACAAAATGCAGTATCTTAGAATATTTTATCTTTAGAAAGGACATAATGAAAATGGCAAATGCTAATTTAATTCTTTTGAAGAAAAGTTCTGGCTAAAATTGAGATTTATAAACATTTACCTTGTGAATTCTATATTATTTCTGCAAGGAAAGACCTTAGTTCTCAGCAGTTGAGTGACTGGACAAGAAAATAGGTTCAGTAGGAGAATCTTCAGAAGGACTCATTAAAGGGTGGTGCTGCTAAGCTGTGACTGTCTTTGATATAAGAAATGCTGGCCGTACCTTGCTGGGGAATCTGACACAGAGGTCCAGTCCAGAAACGTGTGCATTCACAACTGAAAGAATTAATGCCATCAACACAAGTTCCTCCATTCAAACAGGGGTTGCTCAAACACTCATTGATGTTTTCTGTGCAGTTGACACCAGCCCAACCTGATTCACACTTACACAAATAACCAGAGACTGTTTCCTAAGAAAAAGAAACCATATAATACCATAAAACAAACGGATAAAAAATAAACTTGAATCAACCCAAATAATAAAGTGATGCTATTGATATACTTAACAGGTGTTGAACCATAATAAGTATTTTCCAGTAGCCTAACTTGTAATTAATAAGTTTCGATGGTAATTACTAGAAGGGGATTTATTTGGATCAAACTTTGCTTGGTCTACTGTTATACTTTGTAAATCACTGAGACAAAAAAAAAAAAAAAAAACAAATCAACTCATTGGTTTTTTCCTGAGAACTAAAGTTAATACTAACCATTCAGCTGAGAGTTATTGACAGAACCTTATTTTAAGCTTGAATCATTGCCTTCAAATTCATGAATCATATAAAGACATCTTTTATGGAAGTGAAACTAAAATTATTCTCAATTACTCTGTCTCCACAGGAAGAACAAAAGACTCACAATGCATTCTCCATTTAAACAGGGTTGACTTAGGCACATATTACTGAGTTGTACACAGCCATTTGACCCATAACCGTTTCCGGTGTATCCTGGGAGACATGTGCAGAGAGGCAAGGAACCTGTTCAGAAATAATAATAATAAAAAAGCAGAAGTGTAAATAGAGGTCTCCTCTTTGGTTCAGGTGCAGTAACTAAACTCAGGATCTGCTGTCTAGACAAGGATCCACCAACATCAAGTCTGCATATTCCTATGGGCAGACAAAGCAAGGTATGAGGGAAAAAGATTAGAATATTTATTTTTCCATTTTTTAATCTCAAAATAAGAAAGTCATTAAAAATCTAAGTGTATACTTTCCTAACATGGATTAATTTTTGGTTTGAAGGTCAAAACAGGAATTTTGAGGACAGAGGATTTTGTTTTTAAAATGTTTTCGTCATGTTAAAATACTCAAAGACAAAAATGAGTCATTACCTAGAGCTGAGGAGCACGATGCGTCTGGGTGGCAGCCGCCATTGTTGACCGAGCAGATGTCTATGAGTGTGCACACTCTGCCATCGCCCTGGTACCCTGATCAGAGCAAGGGCATGAGAAACAGTGTCAACAAGATGGAAGAAGGATGCCAATCTGAGAATCAAATATCATGAACTAGACCCACCAGGGATCTTCTAGCATCAACACAGAAGATGTAAATATAAAATGTCATAAACAAATAAAATTCCATAAGTAAGAAAAAGAGCAACAAGAATTAGTAACCTGATTTCATAAACAATGTTCTGGGTTGTTTCTAATGAAAAAAAAAATATGTATGGAACTACTGGGAGATTTAGAAAGTGCTGACACTAAGAAAGTTGACATTTTTTAATCACACTGACTCTGATGTTCTTAGAGGTAAATTATTGTAGAGGTCCAAAGTACTATTGTCTCATGTTATTAGAACATATGATTTCAGTTTATCCTTTAGAACTCCCTGAACTTCTTGGATAGTAATTGAAGTAATTCAATTTAGATTAGAGAACAGCAGTAATGACTTCTTTCCAGGAAAGAAGGAAAACTAACAAGGATTGTATGCCTACTATGATGCCTGTGATTTAGTAAACTATATATGCAAAACAACTCATGACTGCACCATATTAAGAAATTATTTATGGGAATAATGGAGCAATAGGTGATCCACACAGATAATTTTTCAAACTCTGCATTATCTCAGTGGCTATTTCACAGTTTGTAAAGCCTTGTTGTTTTCCATTGATATTCAAATGTTTTTTATTTCTTTCCTATAATATAATTGCACCAAGGTGTCCTGAATTCACAAGATAAGCCAAGCTTTCTGCACTATTCAATGTCTCTCCTAAGACAGAAATCATATTTAAAATAGAGCACAAGAATCTGTTTTCAAACGCATGTGTTCCATGTAACAGTGTCAGGAAGTTGACACAGCACCTGGTGGACAGGCCTGACAATGGTAAGATCCAGGTGTATTCACACACTCAACAGGTGGAACCACAGAACAGCCGCCATTGTTTATCTCACATTCATCAATGTCTTCACAAATGTATCCATTTCCTTGCCAGCCTAGAAAAACAAGATTTGAAAGGTACACTCTATAGACAAGTTCACAAAGAAGAAATGCAAATAGTCAAAACATATACAAACCTGCTCTACTCAAGGAAGTACATATTAAAATGAGATATGTCTATGAGATTGGCAAAAATTATTTTAAATTCTTAGAATCAAATGCTAGCAAAGAGGTAGGCAAAGGGGGTAATCTTATGTACTGTTAGTTGGACATTAAATTAACATAACCTATTTAGAAATATATCTGGCAGTAGTCACTAAAAATTTTTAAATACATACCCTCTGACTACCCATTCCACTTCTTGAAACTTACTCTATTGTGATAAAATTGCAAGTATATTAAGATGTAGGTAAGAGGATGTCTATTGCATAAACAGTTTAACAGGAAAAAACCCTCAATGGTCAGTAGGCACATAGCTGAATATCTTATGACTCACCTATACCAAATACTAAAAAAAATTTTTAATAATATACATACACCTGTATGTGTGTACACACACACACACACTGAAAGAAATTTTCCATATATGTTTTAATTAAAAATACTACATGTTAGAATAATTTGCAGAGTTAAGATCATACTCCCAATTTTGGGAAAGAGCTTTTTAAAACTCTGCATATGTGTCTAAAATATGTATGCAAGATTGAAGGAAAAGGTAGAGGCGGAGAGAGAACAAATGGCTAATAGTGGTTCCATTAGGAGGAAGAGATTGAAGGTGATGGAAGAAAATATCATTTTATTTTAGTCGTTGCTGTTTTATTCAACTGTTACAAGTTTGTATTACTTTTATAATTCAAATTATGGAAATTCTAAGAATGTTTAAAGACTCCTAAAACTTTTAAAATACAGGCAGTCCCCGGGTTAGGGACAACCCGACTTCTGGCATTCCAAACTTACCAACAGGCTCCAAAGGCTCCCCATAAGGATAATTTACAGTTCAATAATTAAATTAACAATTTGGGAACTGGTTTCTTTCCCACATGTAAACAACCCTGCATGGCATAGGCGGTTCGTTGGTGCAGCATCTTTACACTAGCGGCTAGTCACAGTGTTTGTATAATATGTCTTTTTTTATTTGCTTTTGTGAGTCTGTGTCTACTCTTACGATCATGCTTCCAAAGCAAAAGTCCCCTGCAAGTTCAAGTGAGCCTGCAACTAAGAGAAAGGTGATAACAATGGCAACAAAAGTAGAAATAATTAAGCATTCGGAGAAAGACCAGATTCCATCATTCATTGGGAAAGCATTAGGCTTCAGTCACTGGACTATCAGAATAATTATAAAGGGTAAAGTGAACATAATGGAACATGTGAAAGGCAGAGCTCCAATGAAAGCATCAGTTATTACTAAGCAGCATAGTGGATTAATTACTGAAATTGAAAGGTTGTTATTGATTTGGTTAGAAGATCAAAATAAGTGTAACATTCCCATTAGCCTAGCTTTGATGCAACGTTAGGTGAGTGTTAACCTTTAATATTCCTTTTTGAAATTTCTCCTGCCTCCTATCTAAATTTTTTGTATGAGTTTGTTTTTATGTTCTGCTTGTTTAAATTAAAAGAAAGAGCACTATAGTATTACAACACAGGGGTATTATTATTATTACAGTATTACACTATATTAGTATTATCACATATGAGCCATTATAGTATTGTTATTATTATTATTATTACCGTATATGCACTGTTATGTTCATCAGGGATCCGAGTTACATACAAATCCAACCTAAAGACTTCTCAGGAACATATCTTGTCCATAACCCAGGGACTACCTATATTTATATTCTTTGATCTAGGTAGAGTCCCCTTCTAAGAATCGATGAAAATTACCTTATCTGTGCATGATAAAATGAGTGCACAGAGAAAAGTTGGAAGGACATATGGCCAAATATTAATCGCGTTCCTCTGACTGATAAGAATATGAGTTTTTGTGGGGGCAGGGTTTTTTCCCTGTTTTTATAGTTCTCTTTATGTTTTATAAGCAGCATATATTACTTTGATATTTGGGAAAAAAATAGGGTGATTAACAGGAAAACACAAAGCTTTTGTCTCTCTGACAATAAAAAGAGGAATGTAAGAACACATTGCCCATCCTCTACTTTAAATAATTTATTCTTCTGATTTCTAGTTTTTATAGATTTTCACTGCCAAATTACCTTCAAGAATGTGATTAATTGCAAATTTTGCTTGCCCTTTAGAACCTAGAGGTAAGAAGTTTTTTCAATTTCTTTCTAGTTTTACAAGATCTAAACCTATCACATGCAGAAAATCACTAAAGCAAAAGTCGCTAAGCAAAGCAATGTGTGTGAGGAGTTCCTTGGTAACGGACTATTCAGCAGCTCGGGTCACATCCAGAGTCAGGCAGACCCGGGCTTGAATACCATCTACCTGCAAGCTATGTGATCTTGGTTGGGCAAGTTATTCAACCTCTCAAAGCCCCAAGTTCTCATATTTAAAAATATGAATCATACTAATTCCCACCATGTCTTGTTTTTGTTGTAGTTGTAAGAGTTAAAATGAAAATTGCTTGTACAGTGCCTCAATGACATTTTCATAAAAGAACAACTGCCATTATTATATTTATGTGCCACCACCTAAGAACACCCAGGGAGTGCTGAGAGGCCTTGTAAATTCCCTGAGGTCTGACTAATGACTTTCCAGTGCACCCAGAACAGTGCTTTGCTCATAGTAGGAGCCTTACAGAGATGCATTGAACAGAAGATAATTGATCTCGTAGAGTAAGAAATATACTTGGATTCAAAACCAGGCTGTTCCTCTTTGATGAAGGTGCCCTTATTTTCAGCAATTCAACATGTGGCCTTCCCTGGAGAAGGAAGTGGAGCGGCAGTGGAGCTGGAGAACCCCATTTACATCTAGGCTGCAAGGTGCTCTGATGACACACCCAGGTGAGAACGACTGGACTGCAGTGACAGCACAAAAAGGTCAAATAATTTGCCCAAGTTTACTAGTATGAAAGGTGGGACTGGAATATGTCTTTGGATTTCAAGTCTAATCGGTTGGTTGATGATTACGGCAGTACAGCATTTAACCTTACACAAACCCTATGGCTAACTCTGTCCCAGAGGTTGACTCTAGCACAGTTTTGGACAAATTTCCCACTTCTGTTGTAGCATCCTTATAACAGTAAGATGGTGTTGAGCAGACGTTACTGAAATAGGGCATGAAACTGGATTCGAACACCTCCTAAGAGCAGTGTTCTTATCCATCAGTAGTAGAAGAGAATTGGTTCTGGCACCTTGCCAGCCTGGCACGTGGCCCTGAGGATGTACCTGTTGGACAGGCCCCACAGTAGAAAGAGCCCTGCGTGTTGAAACACTGCACAAGTGTGGAACAAGGCGCGGGCTGGAGGCTGCACTCATCCCTATCCAGTGTGCAGGCAGAGCTGTTCAGCGGGGACGTCCACCCGGCATCGCAGATGCAGCTGTACTTGGGCTGGCAGGATGACAACAGAGTGAATAAAGACAATCATGAAAATAAGCAAGAAAAGCCTTTGAAAATCTCACCAAACCCCACACTGTTTATCCTCTAACGTTTATTTCCATAAGGCCAATTGAATGGCTTCTCTTTTCCTTCCCATATGATTAAGCATTTAGACCAGACCATGCAAAAAAGGAAACGTCTTTATTTCAGAGTAAGAGAAACCTATAATTTATCCCAAAGATGCCAGGGAAAGAGCAACAACAATCCAGAACTGTAAGTCAATATAATTAAAGTCAATCAGCTAAGCCTATGCTTTTTAGAGGGAAAAACACCCATGTAGGCACAGACCTTGGAAAATCAATTCTGTTTGTTTCCTTTTTGAAAGTTGCTCTCCCTCCTACCTGCCTCCCACCCCCATTATTGGAAAGGAGCCATTTTCCATCACATGGGTAGAAAAAAACAGAAATAAAAATAAACAAGTGAAGCTCTCACTAAGAGCTAAACCAGTCAAGAGTGGGAGACCTTGAGGGTCTGGAGTCAAGGTCATCAGGACCCAGGCAGGGGTGGGGAACCTGTGCCCTTCTAGGTCCTTAAGTGCAGCCTTTTGACTGAATCCAAATTTTACTGAACAAATCCTTTTATTGAAAGGGGTGCAGCAAGAAAAATTAAGCTTTTCTTGCCTCCGTTGGTGCTTAAAAAAGAACAATCTTGAAATCAGAAGGCCGCAGGCTCCCCACCGCGCAGGGCCCTGGGGAAGTGGGTTCACAGAGTGTGCAGCCTCGCGGGGGCTCGGGGCCAGAAAAACCAGACTCCTTAAAACCACATGCTGCCAACAAGACTGGGCCTCTTGTGTCTCCATGTCTTGTCATTATTAAAATTCTCAAGGCCAAGAGAAGGTCATATGTCAGAGAGATTCATGACAGAATAATAGAAATGTTAGTATTTTACATAATGAAATCTTAACCTCTGGGTCCTGTTTTCTGCATAGCTCATCTCCCCTCCTCGTCTGTGCCCTGCTTATGGGCAGGAAGTGGTTTCACCTCTGCTCCAGGCAGTGCCCGTACACAGCTGGCACAGAATGAGCAACTAGTAACCGTGACTCCCAAAAAGGGGCCATATTTGGGGAAGGGACCCACCTCTCCAACTTGCTCTCGGACTAAATCCTCGCAGATGCCGTGGACGCAGAGCTCTTTAGAGCCCCCTTCGCAGTCATTGTATGTGGAGGCACACTGGGGTCCGTATGTGTCAGGCGAGCAGTGACAACTGTTGGTTACACAAGGGCACAATGTCAGGACTTATTTTAGGGTCAGTGCCTGAATCTTAGCATCAATTAGAACAATAATTCAAATTGCAAATCGCCGATGTTAATGCGGAATCACAAACCAGCAATGCAGATTTACTGGCTGGAGTCTTAGAAGAAAATTATTCTACTTTGCTCTAAGCAGTGGATTGAATAAATATGTTATCTCGATAAATACAGTGTTAGAAAATCATAACGTATTATCTGACAGGGCTAGCCCTATAAATTCTTCTGATATCATGTTATCAAACAGCATTTGCAAAGGTCAGAAGTCTATAAACCAAAGGTTATGGAGTTAGCTCAAGAAGGCAAAGGGAGAGTTCAGCAAGTCTGTTCACTGTTTGTCAGCTAGACCTGCCAATAAGCACAGGTGACCTTGAGTAAACCTGTAACTCCCAAATGCTCTCTAGGATTCTATAACCCCTCACACAATACGATGTCCCCATCTCATGGTCTATGATAATTATTTTTACGTTACAAAGGACAATATGTCTTCTATTTCAAAGAGATGTAATAACATACTGACATTTCTTTCATAGTTACATTTTAATTCACAATAAATTGTGATAATTATCTAAGCTAGCAGTGGGTGCTCATTACCAGAAAATTTCAGTACAATAATAATCAAATAAGCAAAGTTGTCTTCAACCACTATAATTCTTAAAGTTGCTAGGTTAGCTTTATAATGGGAATTTGTAAGATATGAATATGTGAGTTGGGGGAAGAGGGAGGAATCGAGCAGTCACAGAAGCCTAAGCTTATTCGCACACGTCTGGGTACATCTGTGGTGAGCCAGGCCCAGAGGTCACCACTTGCTGGACTTGAGCAGCACTGGCAGAAAAAGCCCTAATGGAGAGAAATGACTGTCAGTGCCAGGGGTCAGAGACAGGGAACGGGGAGCACCTGCATGGCCTGGAACCATGAACTCATTTCTGAGAGTTCTGGGAAAAGGGCCATTCTAAGAAGCAAAGAAGCTCTTTTAACAATACACATTGAGCCATGAGCAGTCCAGGTAATGTCCATGAATGACAACATGTGAATGATAGTGTGGGAAATTAGAGTTTGGCTGTTTAAGAAGCATCAAAAGTCACACTCTGGGCACAGGACTTTGCACGCCCACAGTGGGCCCCAGAAACAACTGCTGGGATGGCACCTTTTGGTGGTTTCTAAGGAAGAGGAGATCAATTCCTGTGCGCAGAGGTGGAGAGTAGGATTGTGGTGGACACCATCCAAGCACTCACATGCAGGGTGGCCAGACTTAGCAAATAAAAATGCAGGATGCGCAGCTAAATTGGAGTTTCAGATAAATACGTTTTTTGGTATAAGTATGCCCCATGCAATTTACGACATCACTATATATTTATGTAAAAGCTGTTTTCATTAATAACTATATTTCTGAGCACTCCAAGATTGCCTTTCTCATTAAGATAAGGTCACAGATGAATAATAATAAGTGATTAACTCTAAGGAGAAATTCAATTATTCATTCCCTACCCATAGCTATTTATTGTCCCCTCATCTCTCTCCACTTTCCTTCTCGTATTTTTTTCCTTTCCTCTTCTCTCTCCCATCCTTACACAGAATGTTCTCACAGAGAATTTAATTAGACTCTTGAGGATTATAGGATTTCAGACTATTTCATATACATATTTGAGCAATTTGATCCAGGAGGCTTCACTGCTATAAGTTTATTTCACCATCACCCCACACACCTGCCAAAATTTTTTTTTTAAATATTTAAACCAACTGTTACTAGCCCTCTAAGTCTGTTTTCTATGTATGGGAGATCTGAGTGTTTGGGACCCCGTGGGACAAGACTTCCCAGGTTTAAATCCTGATTCTTCTTAACTGTTCACTGCAGACAATGTACTAACTCCCTCTGCCTCAGTTTCTTACAAAATAATGCTGGCAATCTATGAGCACTATTTCATACTGCAGTCTAAATGCATTCCCCTGTAGGAGGTGCTCTGAAATTTGTGTTTATCTTATCACTACGTGCTTAACTATTGGAAAATGACTTAAGATTTGAGAGGAGATTCTGGTTCATGGACTTGCAATTAAACCTCTTCTCTTTATCTCTCTTTTCATTCTCCCTTGTTCTTGTCACTTGGACATGAGTAGAAGTTAATCCTACACTCTTCTCCAAACAGCTAAAGTATACTTCTTTCATTCAAGCTTAGATAATGTGAGAAGAAAGAGAAAGGGAAGAAGGAAGCCAAGTAAGCTACAGGATTCCTTGCTGCGATCCTCAAGGACAAATATTATTAATCCCATTTTACAAACTCATATTGCCCACAGCCATAGAAATATTAGTTGGCAGAAGATAATGAATAGAAATTTAGGTCTGTTTGACTCCTGCACTGTGGTTTCTCCATGTTAAATTTCTATGTTCTGAAAGGTAGAGTTAGTAGGAAGACTCTGCATTTTTATGTCTTTTTAATATAACAGTGTTTACATGCAAAATTAATTCTCAAGATGTCTTGATATGGCAAAAAAAGTAATTATATACCTCCCTAAGTGAAAATAAAAGCCACATGTGATATTTTTAAAACTAATTTACCACCATTCCTGCTTTAGTTATTAGTTACTGATTTAGCAGAAGTCATTTTTGTAGCGACCTTCTATTGACGATTTGGTTCCAGCAGAACAGAGCTAAGCTTTTCTTTGAAGACACTGCAAGTGCATTTGGCAATTGAGAAGAGGTCAAATACAGTCATAGTTTAACTTGTGTTAGAGTCCATGGTTAGAGTCCATTCCACTGACTAACTGAAAGAGGTGTTGAGTTTAATACCTAACTACCACCTGAGCTAAAACCAGATCATCCTCATTGTCTAAGCTCTACATGTTATAAAATCCAACAGGGACATGAATGGAAACACATAAAATAAAAGATGCTAATCATCATCATGCTCCTGGAGAAACAAACAAGCTCAACTTTTTTTCTATTATAAAAAGCCTTCTAGACCTGAGCTCTAAGTATCTAACCTGCACGGCAAGTTTGGATCCCAAGGGCTGTCTTAAATCCAAAGTAAGCAGGGGAACAGTAAGAATCAGTTCTTCAGAAGAAAAAGGCAGTAACAGCATTCAGAAGTGGCAAAATATCATTCTGTTAACTATGAAAATCACCTAGAGACAAGATCTCAAGCCATAAGAATTGGTGGACACAGATAATGTTTTTTCTTTCTCTACAATCATTATTCTAAAAAAGAATTTTTACCAGAAATTTTCCTATGAAACAGGGCCTCCAATTAATTAGTGTTTGTATCTTCTCAAGGGTCTTTACAATTATTAATTATTAATCCTGTTAAACAAAGACTTATTTTTTTTCTCCCCAGGTAAATGGGCTTGAAGAGTTAAGGAAACCAAAGGAGGCCCCAAGTCCAAAGCAAACTTTGCCCACTCTGGCCGCATTTTCACAGGTTCAGATTATTCAGTGGCTCAAGTTTTCCTCTAGAAAAGTGTGGGCTGAAGTTTCCCAAAAGGGTTTCTAGCTTCAGTGAAGACACTGATTAACAAGGATTTAACCTCATATAATTAATAGAAATCGGGAAAGTACCTAAATGTCCACTGTTTCATTACACACAGATTCCAGAAAGCAAGAACTTAATCTTATGCTGCTCATGTACACCTTTTCATTTCCTTTTATTCCTTCTAAGTCTCCATCATCTGCCTGAATTAGGGTATTTAAGGTATAGATAACAGGGATATAAAGCTAACTTAGCAACTCTAAAAATTTAAACAACATTGCTTATTTGATTATTATTGGACTTAAATTTTCTAGTAACAACATACTCACTGCTAGCTTAGGTATTATGTAATAATTATTACATGTTGTTGTGAATTAAAATGTGATTATGGAAAAAAAATGTGACAACTGGAATTTATGAGGCTTCATAAACTATTTCCATATCGGGAGGAACAGACCTGATTCAAATGCCCTTCTCTCTAATGTCCTCCAGCAAATCTATAAAAGGCAGAGACTAGAAATCAGGATCATTTCCACAGTTGTCAGCACACGGTGCTTCTTTTACAAGAGGGTGCAAGAGAGAATTCGATAATGATCTTACGAAGTTGAATCTGCCATGTAGAAATGCAGCTTTCAACAAATAAATGGTTCTCTCTCTCACTCCCTCTCATATGTGTGTATCTGAACAAAGAACTCTAACCTCTGACATGCTGCAACTAGGTGTGAATGTTAAAGTTTTTTTTTTGTTTTTTTTTTCTTGTCCATTTTGCAGGGAAAAATATAAGATGATGAAAACAACAGCAGCAGCTTTGGCTTGGTCTGCGGATCTCAGCCCACTTGCAGATATTTGTCATTCTGTTGGCCCATAAGACTTCAGAAGAGAGGGGTGATAAATGAAGCCCAGGAGTGAAATCCAATCTCCAGCACATTCCTAGATGTCAGGAAGGTCGGAAAGTATTAAGTGCTGGGAGTCGGGACATTTGCCATGGACATCCCCAAATAGCAACTCTCCTTGATAAATGCCCATAGGCAGAAATCAAGATACAGTGTGTTCAAGGAAATGAAAGTCCTGCATTCTGGATCTAGCCCAAGCCCCAGTGTTTATAACAGCTCATTAAAATGAGAAATGAAGTCCTAAAAGCAAAATGCTCTCTAATAACATAATACTAAATTTAAGTCAGAAGTGGTTAATTTTGGTTTTTTATGATGATTGAACTCATAGACATATCTACCAGAACTTTAAATGATTTGCAGTTATAACCTGGAATGAGCAAAAGTTTCAAAGATCAGATCAAAAGGACAAAAGGACCAATTTAATGAAAAGGGAAGGATTGTGACTACTTTTTTAGAAAATAGTATAACAGTTATGGAGATAAAAACAAAATTACTGCACTCATTTTTGCTGGAAAGACCAGAATGGATATTGTTAAGAGGGAATTAAAGAACAAGATAGCAGAGACTCTAATAGGAGAGCAAATAATTGCTCTTTAATCCAGTGAGATTATACCCTAGATTATTGAAAGAATTTGTTCATGTCATAATAGAACCAATTTTTTAACCTTTAAAAATCACAGAATCAAGAGACTAGCCAATATATGGGGAAAGACAATGTCTAATTTAAAAGGTGATTTTAAGGAACTATACAAAAGTAAGTTTGACATTGATCTGCCATAAATTTTTGGACTTGATTATTAAAAAGATAATGTGTGGACCAGGATAGCTTCGATTACAATATTCCTATGGAATGATGGGACACAGAGGACTGTGATGCCTAACTCAGCTTAGTAGGGGAGGGGAAGGTTTCATGGAAGAGGCAATGCCTGAGCTGAGCAGCAGAATGCTGTGGATGAGCCACTTGACAAAATAAATCAGAAGGGAAGATAGAGTCGTATGATGATTGTGGTCAGGGGCCTTGTGGCTAATTGAAGAAAAGCAATGAGTGTTACTTCGTTCATTGAACCTCAGTTTGATCTTTGATCTTGTTATGGTCAACATTTTGACATAGCACTGAATGAAGCTATTCTTACTCAAACTACGAGCTTGCTAATATATGGAACGAGCACAGCAGTGGTGTACTGGTGTGGTGGGGTGTCCCTTTTCTACTTAAAACCCTTCAGTGGTGCCCTTGAATGCTCTGGCTCTTACCAATGCTTCAGCTCATCTCGCACCATGTCATCCTCACTCTCTGTGCCAGTCACGGTGGCCTTCTTCCTGTTCCTCGGGGATGCTAGAGAAAGGATTTCTTGTCTATGGCCGTACAACCCGAACATGCCTGATCTTGTCTGATCTCACACACTAAGCAGGTTTGGCCATGGTTAGTATTTGGATGGGAGACAGGATTTCCTTTTAGGGTGAGAGCAGAAGACTCGAGGTTTTCTTCATCTAAGTAAAAATAGCTATATATGTTAAATAAGAGTCACCTATTTCCTTATGGGGTACCTAATTTTGCTGGTAAATACAGATAATTAATTTTGGATGCTCTTAACTCTGCGATGTTTTAGTCCTTCAAAAATGTACTTGATATTTACCCAAAAAAAAAGTTGTTACCTGTAACTCCCCAATGTATTTATACACGTGGCTCCATTCTGGCAGCTAAAGGGTGTTCCTGAGTAAATCTCACATTCGTTAACATCATCTGAGCAGAGAGAACCCTGTGGTCACATAAAGAAAAAAGTCAGGTGCCAAAGGTCATAGAGGTATCTGGGGGCTAATATTCATTTGATATGTTTAAGGATTTTCACATGGATGGTAAATAAGTCCTAAATACCATAATACTAATATTAATCTCCATTAATCCTTCCTCTGGAACTCAGATTTGACCGAATAGAATTAAAGAGCTCTTCATAAGATCATAGCAGTCACACAAGGAGAATCCTTATCCAAACTGAGACATGTCTGGGAATACCTACTTAACAATTGTTTAAATGTGCATGTTGAGAAAATTTTCACCATTACTAGAAAAAGGCAAGAAAATTTACAACAGTATGTCAAGATTTGTTCAGTACTTTCCAACGCTAAATAATTTAATTTAATGCTAACAGAAATATTGTGCCATTCCACGTCGTTATCCAGTTAAGTGAACCTCTCCTTAAGATGGCTCGGCATTCAGTGGGTTATATAATCACACTCACCATCATTTGGATTTGGGCGTACATAGTATAATTCATTCTGATTCGAGAGGCCACAGAATCCTAGAAACTTTGGATGGAGAATTAAATATGCCTTTTTGATTCCAGGAAAACCCAAGATGCTGACTCACCATCACTTTTAACCAAAAACAAGGTGACTCACCTTCCACTGTGAGGGACAGATACAAAAAAAGGAGTCGTACAGATTGAGGCAGGTTCCACCATTTTGGCAGGGGTCGCTGCTGCAAGCTTTTGTGTCAACTGTCTGAAACAAAGACAGGACAGTCAGCAGCAATAAAAGGCATGTTCCGGTGCAGATGCATATGTAGGATTACATTTTACTCCTGGTCCAAGAGGTCCTCCCCCAGACTTTAAACCAATTAGTTACATTCTTCAAATCAACTCTCCTGTGCCAAAACAAGAAGTGTTTCCTATTATCAGTCCTACAATATTCCTTAACTCTTTACGTGCTTTTAACCATGGGTGGGATGAAATATAAGGGGAGAAGACACTCATTTTACTCTTGGGAAAAGTATTCTTTACCTGAGAAATATACATCAGTGGCCAAGAGTAAAGGTTTCAGGTGCGGAAATAATAAAGGAGGTTCCTATTGCACTAAGAAAATAAAAATGGAAATTCCGGTTCTTTGAGCTGTTATTCTTATCTTTGGTACCTCCAGGTAAGCCTTTGAAATATGATCATCTTCTGCCGCCCCTCCTCTCCTGGGTTGAGATCACTGAACTCTTTTCACTCCAAGTCCCTCTGTTTGAAATGTGGCCAACTAAGATACACTCTTCACCCTGTGCTCACCTGACTGCTTTCAGACCGGAGTCACAAACAGACCTACTTTTGTCTGTACAACCTGGGGAGTCTTACCTATGTCAGCTACCGGTTTCAATCTTAAAAGATTTTTAATGCCTTTGGGGGCAGAGAAAACTTCTTTAGAGGGGTCTAGTGATTACACAATGAAAGTTATTCTTATTAATTTCACCGATAGTCTAATCCTCTCTTTTAAAAAGGTGAAATAGGTGAAAACTATTCATTACATTATAACTATTCATTACACATATACGCACATACACACACAGTGGCTCACAGAAAAAAATCAAGTCTGTTTCCTTCATTTTACAAATGAAATTGAGAGTCAGAGTCAACTGACTCAGTGCCATTTATTGCAAAGCTCATTCCTTCTCTACTTTTGCCCTGAATCAGGAAACTGTGCATGCGGGGATCTCTTTATGGATCCTGTTTTATTCCATTTTTCTGTTTGTCTCTCTTTGTACCAGTACCACAATTAGCTCTGCCCATCAAAGGACACTATTAAGAACATTAACCATAAACTCATTAGAGGTTTTTCTGGTGTACAAAAGCAACATTGTCTGAAGGATTAAAAACTCAAAAGCCTATGGGGGCCCACAGGAAATGAAATCAGTTAGCAGTCAGGAGGAAGACAACAGGGAGTGGCAAGGACTGTGGTGGCCAGAGAGTGCTGGCCCTATCCAAAGGCACAGAGGCATTCACACTGGACAATCATTAAGCACTCTTCCTGAGGGATGGGGCAGGGAGGACAGTCTGAGCTCACTTTGACCATGGCCTCCGGTTCCTGACCTTTGGTAAGAACTATGAGCCCTCCAGGAGCCTGCAGACTCCAGCGCTGTCTTGTTCCACAGCACTATTCCTTGCTCGTTTTCATTCCCTCAGCTACTCCCTAGAAGGACGACGACTGAGGGGTCAATACGTCATCAAAGTGGAGAAAGGGAATATATGAACTTGTTTACCAAACTTAAAATACCAAAAATGGAGGCCAGTGCTTGAAGAATAATCAAAACAGATCAAGAATACTAGAGCAGGGATTCTTACCCTGGAATCTCCCCACTCTTATGCAAAATTTTAAATACGGGGAGATTCTGTGCATTTCTCTGTGTAGAAGGTATGGCTTCCATGAAAGTCTTAAAAAAGGTCAGCTGCCTACAAAGGGGGTAAGAAGCCTAAGTTTACACAGAACCGTTTACACACGTCGTAAAGTTATACAACATTTGCTCTAAGAAATTGTCCATGTTTAATTACCAGCAAATGTAGTGTTAAGGGAATTGGAATATTTTGTGATTCACCCCAGACTTCTGGGCTTAATGATGACAGGATTAGGGGTGCCTGTGAGAGGAGCACACGTGGGCTGCAAATTCAGGGTCACAGACCTCATACACTCAGTGACCTTGGGCTGGTCACTCATCCCCCTTAGACTCAGGTTCCTCATCTGCATCCTGAGAAGCCTAAGCTGGGATAAGAATTAAATGATGAGAAAAAGCAAGCCTTTGATATTAATCAACCGCCCACCCTTAAAATGAGGATGCCACCTTTGTCAATGATTCTAGCATATTCTCTGCAAAGACGTTAGATATTTCATAGTATGAGACTTACCTGCTGTAAGTCTTGAAGCTCTCTCTCAAGATCCACAAGCTAGCAGTGGGTAAGAAAAGCTTCAATTAGCTGGTTTAAAGGCATTTCACATGTGATGTTACACCCCCGCCATACATCGCTAATACCCTCTGCTAGGGACTCACTTCATCCATTTGTCCTGTTCATACAGCCTTTTCTCTCCTCATTCCCCTTCCCCTCCAGGATTCCCTTCCTTCCTATTCCCTTCCATCACACAGATTTCTTTTTTTAAAAAAAGGCATTTTTTAAAAGAAGTATAATTCACTGAAAAGTTGACTCTGCTTCTCCATACACAGTCCCCGTGAGAATTTTCATAAATGTCAGTGATACACCCACTTCACCCATCAGAAGGTTGCTACCAGAACTTGAGCAAGGCCTGTGAATGCAACAAGGCCTTGCACAGCAATTCCTACCTTCTGCCACCACTTTTATATCCTCCATTAGGGCTGTGTCGTTTAGGCAAAAGGCCCGTAATTATACCACTAAATCTCTAAAGGGGATACAAAATTGGTATATTCCCTGCAAAATGGTTGCTCACAAAGTTGGATTAAGGAGAACACATTTGCTCTTATGATGTGGATGTCAGACTCACCTTGGAGTTGAGCTGATGGATTTGACTAGATATATTTTGAGGCAGACCAGTTGCATTCCTTTTTAAATCTATAATATCATTTTTGTTTTCCTGGATCTAATTTTTAAAAAAGAAAGAAGAAAAACACTGGTGAAAAAATCATGTATATCTTATAGGAATAAAATAAACTTGAGTAGTAGTCTATTTTAAGCACTAAGATCTTGCCTATTATTATGAAAACCAAAACAATGCCGTGTATAATGAACATCCGACTGAAACAGCCAAGGCATAATTCCACCTACTCTTTTCAATGACAATATATCAATGTATTTTCCACTTGTATATTTTCTTATAATAACAGTTTAGGGTGCTAATTAAGAAGCCTGGCTTGGAATCAGACCATTTGGGTTTTAAATCTTGACTCAATCATTTATTGTGTGTCCTGGGCAAGTTACTTAACTGCTTCAGGGTTCCTTTACCTCCCTTATAAATGGAGTGATAATGAAGCCCACCTCACAGGGAGCTGTGAGGGTGGAATGAGATAACGCACAGAAAGTGCTAGGCACAGTGGGTGGCCATAGGAAGCTCTAAGTGATGCTGTCTTCTAACATTATGAGTGATACATCAGTGTGATGTAGTAAACATTGAGCACTGAAAACATTTAATAAGGGAGGAGAATAATCGGCCAATTCTGTTCTGTGGTACAAATAAACTTTCTCTACACCTTCTTCTGGTCCTCTCCTTCCTCTCCTCCCTTGGAGAGGACTTCCAGTTCTACCCTCTGTGCCCTCTCTGAACTAGGGTACACTACCCTGTACAATGAGCCACTTTTCACTGGCATTACTTGCTCTACCCACCATTAACCCTAGGTCATTGTTCTTTACAAGAACACATCTTACATCCAACTATGTTCTCTGTGCTAAAGATTCAAGGAACACCAGGGAGAGGGTGAGGGGGTGGTTGAAGGCAGGTTGATTAATGGGTACAATCTACAGTTAGACAGAAGAATTAAGACCTAGTGTTTGATAGATCAGTAGGGTGACTATAGTTAACATTAATGTATTGTACATTTCAAAATAGCCAGAAGAGAATAATTCAAATATTCCTAGCATGAAGAAAAGATAACTATTTCAGGTGATGGATATCCCAATTACCTTGATTTGACCTTTATACATTATACGAATGTATCAGATTATCACATGTACCTCAAAAATATGTATATCTGTTATGTATCAATAAAAATAATAATTTAAAAAGATTCAAGATATAGTTTAATATAGACCTGTTCAATTAATTTATCATATATGGATATACAAAATGACTTGAAGATATTTCCCGTATATTACCTGATGCAAACATTCACTGAGGTCTTCATCATTTAATTTAATTTTTCCTAGGGATCCAGTTCTAAATTCAATGTTTTGGGATGACCCCGTAAGAAACACTAAATTTCCCCTCTCTGTAGCCATCCGAGGCCTATATAATTCAAACCAAAGAATTCATCAGTAATTAGCATATATAATTTTCAAATCAACACAACAAAGTTTCCCACTGAATAACTGACTATGTACATCTTCACTTTGTGATCGTCTCAACCAAACTGTTCCTACTCACCTGCCATTTCTTTCTTTGCAAATTTCTTGGAGATGTCTCCCAGTAATTGCCTACTTGCATTATTTGCAAAATGACAAATGAATAATTTGTGTGTATGAAGGTAATTCCATATACCTATCTAACTTTTTTTTTCCCTGTTTGCTTTTTGACATAATTTTTCTCAAGAAAAATCACACCTTTGTTTATCTGGCTATTTGGGAAAACTGGTGTGGAACTACCCCCGTCCATCAGCAGGAATGATCCATGTATTTACTTACTGTTGGAGATCAGCGTTTCTGTTTTGCTGCTGCAGCTGAAGTCCACCGGCTTCACCATCTAATTCAGCAAGTGTCAATAAAGTAACCAAACTAAAAAGAAAAGGTGAGGACATATTCCTCACCAGCCTCCTGTCATGTAAGAGGGTGGCCACTCCAACCGAGTGTGGGAGTTTAGAGAACAGCAAACCAGGCAGGTGCACTTTGACCCATGGGATATCCTGTAACTTTTCAGCTTTTTCTTCTTTGCCCTGGAAGGCTATGTTATTTTTTCTTTCCAAGGCATGTAAATGATTTTAGATCTTCAGTACTCTTCAACTTGTGGGAGGTCAAAATCTACCGTAAGTGATGCACAACTTAATCATTATCTGTTTGACCTTTGAAACAGTAACGAGCAGCTTTTGAAAACATGCACTGAAACAACTTTTGCTTAAGAAGTAGCCACCTTTGAACAAAAGTAAACTTGGTTACATTTACACCTTTCTCTGATCCTCTCCTTCCTCAGCTCCCTTATGGAGGAGTTCCAGTTCTGCTCAATGTCAGGAAAACTGTATATCCACATGCAAAAGAAGTTGGACTCTTACCTTGTAACATATACAAAAATTAACGCAAAATGATTTAAAGACCTAAGTCTCAGAGAGAAAACTATAAATCTCTTGGAAGAAAACGTAAGGAGAAAGATTGATGACCTTAGATTTGGTAATGATTTCTTGACACCAAAAGTACAGGCAAAAAAAAAGAAAAAAGAAAGAAAGAAAGAAAGACAACCAAAAGATAAATTGGACTACATAAAAATTAAAAACTTTTGTGCATCAAAGAACACTATCGACAGAGTAAAAAGGCAACTCCCAGAATGGGAAAAAATATTTGCAAATCATATATATAATAATGGGTAAATATTCAGAATATACAAAGAACTCCCACAACTCAACAATAACAACAACAAAACCTCAATTTTAAAAATGGGCAAAGGACCTGAATAGACATTTCTCCAAAGAAGATACAAAAAGGCCAAAAAGCACATGAAAAGATGCTCAACACCAGTAATCATTAGGAATATGCAAATCAAAACCACAATGAGATACCACTTCATACCCATTAAGATGTCTATTATTGAAAAAATAAATCATAAATGTTGGTGAGGATGTAGAGAAATTGGAACCTTGTACACTGTGGGTGGGAATGCAAAATGGCATAGCTGCTATGGAAAACAGTATGGTAATTCCTCAAAATATTAAACATAGAAATAATGTATGATCCAGCAATTTTACTTCTGGGTATATACCTGAAAGAATTGAAAGCAGAGACTCAAATAGATATTTGTATAACTATATTCATAGCAGCATTATTCACAATAGCCAAAAGGTGGAAGCAACCCAAGTGTCTATCAACAGATAAATAGATAAACAAAATGTAATATATACATACAATGAAATATTATCCAGCCTTAAAACCATGGGAAATTTTGACAGATGCTACAACAAGGATGAACCCTGAAGACATTAAGCTAAATAAAGTAAGTCAATCACAAAAAGAAAAATACTGTATGGTTCCACTTACATGAGGTGCCAAGAATGGTTAAATTCATAGAGACAGAAAGTAGAATGGTGTTTGTCAGGGGCTGGAGTAAGAAAGAATAGGGAGTTACTGTTTAATGGGTATAGTTTCACTTTGGAAAGACCAAAAAAGTTCAGGTTATGGACGGTGATGTTTGCACAATATGAATGTACTCAATGTCACTGAATCATAAATTTAAAATATGACTAAAATGGTAAATTCTATGTTATGTACATTTTACAACAATTTTTAAAAATTGAAACCATAGTTAGGAAAATAGAATAGGAACTGCTTGCTATAGACTGTCTTAGGAACAAAAAGAATACCTTTGCATCTAGATTTTCTGGTTTCAAAAATTCAGATAATCTATGAAAATCTTTGATGTGCCACCTAAAGTTTTAAATAGTATCTATATGAAATTAGTGTCTATATGAAATTAAATAGACTGTGCAGCTGGTATTATGACAAAACATAACAGTTTTACACCTGTTCTCTTTGATCATTACAATACAACAAAAACAAAAATAGCTTGCAAGTTACCGTTTATTTGAGCTGTACTGAGGTCAAGAGATGAGGGTTTTGTTGTTGTTGTTGTTTGTTTGTTTGTTCAAGAAATGGATCTAATACCATAAATGATATTTTGGGTTGAATACATTTCTTAACAGTTACAATAGTCCAAGTCTTCCTTCCACCATTAAGCTATGTGATCAGACCACATCATTCAATTTAGAAGATCAAACAGAACTAATACTTTTTAAAAACTCCTAGGATCTAAGACACAGGGGAAAAAAAAAAAAGAAGGCTTCAGGGTGAAGGTTTTTGTTCTAACTCCCAACATTCTTGGGCAGTGACTAGAAAAATGGGGGAGGGGAGCTATAGGAAGTGTGAATAAAGAAAATAAATTTTTTTAAAAGAAGAAAAGAAATTTATTGGAGTAATAGAACCAAGGGAGAGATAGATCTGTTTTATGCTATTACCCCAATGAAGTGATTTATCCCTGTCTCATTATCGTTAGTAGCTACTACAATTTTGAGCTCTTTCTATGTGCTAGACATTGTAATGAGTGATTTATATAGATTACATCATTTCATCCTTGAAACAGATGGGGAAATTGTTTTTTAGAGATTAATTTTTACTCAATGTCTCCACATCTTTACTATCCACTTCTAATTCATTGTAACTTAATTGCATTTGGTTCCATTGAGCTCATATTTTTAGATACCTAATTTGTGCCAGACTCTGCTATGCATCAGGTATGGTAGTTAATAAAATACACAGATTCTTGTCCTCAAGGGGTTTGAATTCTGGAGCAGAAAAACGGGGGAAAAAAGGTAAAGAGATAGACGGACAGGGTAGTTTCAGTAATGATGAATGTTCAGGGGGTGACATGACACAGGGTGACTCGGGAGAAGGGACATACTTATAGTGAGTGGCCAGGGCAGCCTCACACTCTCCAAGATCTGTGAAGCCTCCGTCCCAGCTCTAGGAATCTTTACTTTTCACCATCTCCATGGGACCCTGTGTGACAGCTATTAATACTACTACTTTCCATTCTTCCAGCGGGATGATATGGCTTGAGGACACGGCCCACTGATGTCCCAGTGATTCTGTGCTGGGAATACCGAAACCACTGGAGGGTGATGGAAATGCTCTACACCTTGGTTGTAAAATCATCTGTTGATGCGCTCAAACTGTCCATGAGCACATAGACCATTTATAAGAAACTGAATTCGAGGAACTATGAAAGCTCCGCTCTAAGAAAAATTTCTAGGTAACTACCATTATATGGGTTAATATTCATGCAGTTATGTAGTCTCTTTGAGGACAAGGATGATCATATAGAATAGCATATATTGTAATACCTTGTCTGGGATACTCAAATATTGACTGCTTTTAGATTTTTTTAAACCTTCCAGATTTCTCCTAAGTAGTCTTTTGTATCTGGTTATTTTCATTGAACGTAACACTTTTGCAATTCATCCACGCTGCACTGTGTATCACTAGCTGGTTCCTTTCTATTATTGAGCAGTATTTTGTTTTGCGGCTATTCCATAGTTTGCTTATCTATTCACCAGCTGATAAACACTTGAGTTGTTTCCGGATTGGGACTATTATAAATAAAGCTACTACAAACATTTACAAACAGGTCTTTGTGTCAACATACGTTTTTATTTCTTTTGGGTAAATACTAAGGAGTGGGATTGCTGAGACATATAGTAAGTATATTTTTAACTTTATTAGAAAATGTTAAACTATTTTCCAAGGCATTTTCCTATGGTATGGGTGAGAGTTCCAGTTGCTCCGAGTCCTTGTCATCACTTGGTATTTTCAGTGTTTTTATTTTTAACCACTCTGGTGGGTGTGCTGAGGTATCTCATTGTGATTTTAATTTACATTTCCCTAATGACTAAAGATGTTGGGTATTTTTTACGTATATTTGTATTTCTTCTTTGGCAAACTGTCCATTCAGATCTTTTACTTATCTTTAAAAACTGTAGTTTTTTTAATTGAATGTAAGAGTTCATACAGTCTGGATACAAGTTTTTTCAGATATATATTTTGAAAATATCTTTTTTTTCCAAACTGTGCCCTGTTATTTCATTTGCATGAGAGAATTTTCCAAGGACCAAAATAGGTGAGAAACAAAAGACTATTTTCTGAGTGATCCCACATTGTATGTTTCCATATGAAAATCTGGAAAAACTGAAGCTATATTCATAGAAAACAGATCAGAGGTTGTCTGAGGCCAGGAGTTGGGGGAGGAGACTGACTGCAAGGAAGCATGAGGCATGTGTAAGGGTGATGGGAATGTTCTACATCTTGATTGTGGTCGTGGTTACACGACTGTATAAATTCATCAAAACTCATAAAACTGTACACTTAAAATAGATGATCTTCGATGGATGTAAATTACAACTCAATAAAACTGATTAAAATGATTTCTCTTATATATCTGTAAACATTTCCATATATAAGGATGATGTAATACTAATGTTGGCATTAAATTAAATGCTAATAAAAGATGTCCAATAACTTTTAAATAAATAGTTACGGGTGAAATTTATCACAGTGATCCAGGTTTGTTTGAAAGCTTAACAACTTGCTATGGGAGCAGAGAGAAAGCCTGACAATGTGAAATATTTGGCAACTTTAGAATAGGATAAAATAGGATGGGTTAGAATGCTCCAGCACAAAAGACAATTCAAACTCTCTGAGCTCTGAGCATGACTATTTTCATGATTACATTTTCCTAAAGATCATTGGACTCAGCAAATCTTTCTAATGCAATAGAAAATGTCTACGGCATGATCATAATAAGAGCTTCCTCTTTTAAAGGATTTTTCTGTTTTATTAGTGTGTCTATTACTAAACAAAGTAAAAATAATCTCTACTCCTAATCTAGGTAAGCAATTCCTAATTGTCCCTCACGTTAGGAAAAAAAGAAAGAAATATTCTTTCAAGGTCTGACTTCTAGTGAGGAGTTAGGGAATTTCACATCCAGCTCACTTACTCAACTCTAGCTCAGATCAATAGACAAGTCAGACTGTCTGCATACATT